ACTAGCTTAATCGTGAACCTAGTACAGATGTAATCAAATCTGTAACTGGTCCAGGAGCTGCCCGCACTTCAGGAAACACTCAAGAGAGACACAGAAGTCAGGTGCCGGTGACTCATGCCTATAATCCTAGCTACTCAGGAGGCTGAGATCTGAGGATTGCTGGTCAAAGCCAGTCAAGGCAGAAAAGTCTGTGAGACTCTTATCTCCAAAAAACTGGCAGAAAACCAGAAGAGGTGCTTTGGCTCAAGTGGTAGAGTACTTGTCTTGAGCAGAAGAGCTCAGGGACTGGGCCCAAGCCCAGAGTTCAAGCCCCAGGATGGCCAAAAACAAACAACAGATAATTCCTAACTACTCATGAGACTGAGATCAAAATTCAAAGCCAGAAGAAAAGTCCAAAAGATTGTATCTGCCATTACAAAAAGCTTGGCTGTGGGGCACTGGTGGCTCAAGCCTGTAATCCTAGCTACTCAGGAGGCTGAGATCTGAGGACTGAGGTTCAAAGCCAGCCTGGGCTGGAAAGTCCATGAGACTCTTTTCTCCAATTAACCACCAGAAAACTGGAAGTGGTGCTGTGGCTCAAATGGTAAAGTGCTTGTCTTAAGCTGTAAAGCTGAGGGACAGTACCCAGACCCAGAGTTCAAGCCCCATGACTGACAAAAAAAAAAAAAGCCAAGTAAGACCATGAGACCTTGAGTTCAAGGCTCAGTCCTGGCATCAAAAATAAAAGGTTCCAGGCTGGGAAAGTGGCTCAGTGGTAGAGTGCTTGGCTTGCATGCATGAGGCCCTGGGTTCCATTCCTCAGCACCACATAAGCAGAAAAAGCCAATAGTGGCACTATGGCTCAAGTGGTAGAGTGTTAGCCTTGAGCTGAAGAGCTGAGAGACAGCGCCCAGGCCCAGAGTTCAGGCCCCACGACCAACAACAACAAAAAAAAAAACCTGGCAAAAAAATAAATAGTTGGGCACCAGTGGCTCAGGTGTGTAATCCTAGCTACTCAGGAGGCTGAGATCTGAGGATCCTGGTTCAAAGCCAGCCTGGGCAGGAAAGTCTGCAAAACTCTTACCTCCAATAACCCATCAGAAAACTGGAAGTGGCACTATAGCTCAAGTGGTAGAGCGCTAGCCTTGAGCTGAACAGCTGAGAGACAGTGCTCAGGCCCAGAGTTCAACTCCCATGACCGACAAAAAAAATAAAAATAAATAAATAAATGGTTCTTCCTTATACCATTCTAGTATCAATTTCCATATTCTTCCCAACTTTCAGTGTATCTCTATATTATTTCATGTCTACTTTCTTCAACAGCACCCAGTGTCTGCCTTTTTTAGTGTTATATTCCCCCAGGATATGGCTCCTGATCAACCCATAGAAATTTAGTGAGCAGAAGAATACTTTTGCTTCAGTTCTTCCCAGTCTTCATACTTACTAGAGAAATCTGCTGAGTAGAGAAAAATTAAATATCTAGTATCTTAAATTCTAGAGGGAAACTGACAGCAAATAAGCCATGCCGAAGCATTCTTATGGTGAAAGATGATAAGTTTTGAATTTTCTTTTTTTTTTTTTTGGGTCCGGTCGTGGGGCCTGAACTCTGGGCTTGGGTGCTGTCCCTCAGCTCTTCAGCTCAAGGCTAGCGCTCTACCACTTGAGGTATAGCACCATTTCCGGCTTTTTTCTTTTTGCTTATGTGGTGCTGAAGAATCGAACCCAGGGCCTCGAGCATGCAAGGCAAGCGCTCTACCACTGAGCCACCTTCCCAGCCCAAGTTTTGAATTTTCATCTCCACTAGCCTGAATGATCCAGCCTGTCCTGTTCCTTTTTACTTTTCTTTTTTGAGATAGGGTGTTACTATGTACCCAGGGGGGCTGGTCTCAAACTAAAAATTTCCTTCTCAGCCTCTTGTGCTAAATATCACCATTTCATGTTCAACCTATGTTAACATCAGTTTTCTTCCATCTATTGAATGATTTTTAATGTTCTTTCTAACTCTAGAATTATTCTACTAAACTTTTTTTTCAAGTACATTAAAGAAGGTGATTTAACACTATTTCTAAGGGTATTTGTTCTAATTTGAAAGATATCTTTTACAGCAAAGAAAAACATATCTCAAAACTACTATCTAAGCTGGATACTGGGAGCTCACATCTTTTATCTTAGCTATTCAGGAGACTGAGGCTGGAGATGACAATTCAAAGCCAGTCTGGGTAGGAAAGTCTACTATACTCTATCTCCAAAATAACCACAAAGTCAGGCTGAAGGCATGGCTCAAGTAGTAGAATACCAACTGAGTAGGCAAGCCAACCAAATTCAAGACCCTGAATTCATATCCTAGAATACCCTTCCCCCCAATAAAACAACAAACTTCTCAATCCCCTGGTGTGATAGATTACACTTGTAATCTACTACTGAAAGGTAGAGATCAAAAGGATGGTGGTACACAGGCCAATCTTAGGCAAAAGAGCTATCAACAATATCAACAAATAGCTGGCATTGAGGCATAGGTATATCATGCCAACTATGCAGGAAGCTTAAATAGGATAGTGGTCTACTACACCTAGGTATTAAATGATGGACTCTATTCTCAAAATAACTAAAGCTGATGACTCAAGTGGTAAAACACCTTCCTATTAACTCTTGGCCCAGTTCAACCCCAATAACCGCCCCCCCCCAAAGCTAATCAAAGCACAAATACTATTAAAAATTAGTCTCAGCCAGGTGCTAGTGGCTCACATCTATAATCCTACTGAGGAGACTGAGAGCAAAAGATCAAGGTTCAAAGCCAGCTCAGACCGAAAACTCCAAGAGAGTCTTATTTCCACTTAAACACCAGAAAACCAGAAGTGGAACTGTGGCTCCAAAAGGGCTAGCAAAAAAGCATAGGGAAGCTGGGCACCGGTGGCTCACACCTGTAATCCTAGCTACTCAGGAGGCTGAGATCTGAGAATCATGGTTTAAAGCCAGCTGGGGGAAGGAAGCCTCTTATCTCCAATTAACCACCAAAAAACTGGAAGTAGCACTGTGGCTCAAGTAGTAAGCGCTAGCCTTGAGCTGAAGAGCTAAGGGATAGCACCCAGGCCCTGAGTTCAAGCTCCATGCCCAACAAAAGAAATTTTTTTAAAGGTTGGTCAGGGTTTTGTTGCTTTGTATGTCCCCTCCCCCACGGTATAACCCCTGTTTTCACTGTATTTGATGTTAGTATAATTTGGGGACCGGAAGGGAAAAAACAAATTGTTTAAATAGGGTTACAGGCTGACCCATTGCAACAATGAGATGTACAAGACACTATGTAGAAAAATGAACTTTAGGACCGCCCCCCCCCAAAAAAAATGAACTTTACAATTTAGGCAGTGGGGGAGGGGAGAAGTGTAGTTGTGGAGATAGGAGGGAAGGGATGGTAGGGGAAAAACAAAGGAGGAGGTAATGCTTGATAAGAAATGCACTCTTAGCCAGGCGCCTATGGCTCACATCTGTAATCCTAGCTACTCAGGAGGCTGAGATCTGAGGATCGCGGTTCAAAGCCAGCCCGAGCAGGAAAGTCTGTGAGACTCTTATCTCCAACAACAACAAAAAAAAAACCACTAGAAAACCAGAAGTAGCACTGTGGCTCAAGTGGTAAAGCCCTAGCCTTTTTTTTTTTTTCTTTTGGTCAGTTGTGGGGCCTGAACTCTGGTCCTGGGTGCTGTACCTCAGCTCTTTAGCTCAAGTCTAGCACTCTACTACTTGAGCCATAGTGCCACTTCCAGCTTTTTCTGCTTATGTGGTGCTGATGAATCGAACCCAGGGCCTCATGTTTGCAAGGCAAGCACTCTACCACTGAGCCACCTTCCCAGCCCTAGAGCCCTAGCCTTGAGCTGAAGACTTGAGGGACAGCGTTCAAGGCAGAGTTTAAGCCCCAGGACTGACAAAAAAAGAAAAGAAAAAGAAATGTACTGATTACCTTGCCCATGTGATTATAACCCCTCTGTACAATATTTTCACAATAAAAAACTTACTTAAAAAAAAAAAGTTTGGTCTGGAGATAGGCTACCAAGGATAACTACTTGTCAGTCAAAGGCAAAAACTAATCTCTTAGGAAGAACTATAAAATACATTACACAACAAAGAATAAGATCTACTGTTCCTCACACCTGTATTATTCTACTACTTTCCAATACAGTAGGAATGGAATGTGGACATGTTAGAAAGTGGTCTACCCACTCCTTAATTCTTTCACTCTACCACTGAGCCACCTTCCCAGCCCCCACTCCTTTATTCTTTTTTTTTTTGGTCCAGTCGTGGGGCCTGAACTCTGGGCCTGGGCACTGTCCCTCAGCTCTTCAGCTCAAGGCTAGCACTCTACCACTTGAGCCACAATGCCACTT